AATTATATATATATATATATATATATATATATTATTTGTATTTCGCGGAGTGACACGTGTAAAAAGTTGTTTCATTTAGGTTAAAATTTTCACACTGACTAAAATGCCCTGTAAACAATGCAATCCTTCCCTTTGTTTTATATTTTTTTTAAATGACATTTTAAAAGAATTTCTGAAGCAAACAACCACATGTTCAATGGTAACTAATTGTGCTTGTTTTTGAAAAGTATTGCTGCTAAAATAAAAAACTCTGAGATGAACTGTAGTTGAGCCTGCCGAGTTAAAAACTTAGTTTTTAAAATTAAAAAGTACTACTGATTTCCTTTATCTCTTATTATCATTGTGGAAATATTTGTTTTAAAAATATGTTTAGTGCTTTTAAGCGGTGTCAGCTTCAGTTTGATTTAATTCAAGTACTTGGAGTGAGCTCTAAATAATAAATGAATATTTTTCATGTTGCTTTAAATTGGATTGGTCATTTGGATACTGCATACTCTTTGTGAGGTTTTATAACTTTTTGTGAGTTTTATATACATCACACCTCGCAGTATTATTTATTTTGTTTTCTGGATTTTGGTTTCACAGGTTACTTGCAGTTCTTCAAAACAATAAAACTCAACATAAGCGTAATCATATTTAAGTGCTATATTGCACTGATACAGTTTGTGCAAGTTTCACTTGTTTTTTGCAAAGTATATTTAGATCTGTAGTGATGACTACAGTATACAGTACAGGTCTTTAATCAGTGGATTTTTTTAACCGTAATGTCCACATCTTAGCTTATGTTATTATACTTTTTTTTTTTCTTTTTTTCCGTCCTAAATTAAGTTACTCTAAACTAAGACAAGCAAATATGTCTCAAAGGTTATTAAATTTACTAACTAGTTTTTCATATGAATCATCTATATAAAAGGCCAACATTAAATCAACACTGAAATTAACTATTTCTACTATCTTGTATGTGAATGGATTTAATTTCTTACTTTCAGAGGATTCCGAAGTTAATTTGTATGGTAAATGTACAATTTAAATGTGTATTCCATTCTGGTCACTTTGCAGGACTGAGATTCTTTCAAAAAAGCCCTGTTGGTTTCTATTATAAAATAATATTACTAGTATTACAAAATAATAACACTTGGTGAAACTAATGCTAGGACCAAGCCTTTTTGGAGAGTCAAAGGGTGCAAAGCTTGGTTCACATAAATTCTACTTTAAGCTCCGCCCAGGTTTGGCAGTTGCCATGTTAATATCGCAAGCATGACTAAGCACCAGTAAACTCAAGAGTTTACCAGAAGCATAGCTAGTGCATTTTTCGCCATTGCCATTTTTTTCCATTTAAAAAGTACATGCAATGCAGGTAAAAAAAAACTTGATACAAAATTGATTCTAGTTCAGCTGATTTAAGTACATGCCATGATTAAAAATCTAGGCCTGATCATTAATTGTACAAGTAGGCATCCAACATTATCTTATGGGAAATGTATATTTAGACGTATTTATTGCAGTACAGTGTACAAAGGGTATATATATATATATATATATATATACACACACACACGTTTCCTTCCATTTCCTGCTGGAAATATTTAGATTTGTATATTGTCAAGATGTCTTAATCAAAATAAATAAATAAACCTGCATTTTTTTCCCCCATTTTTTACTACCATTCGATGTTTAAATGATTGAATCGATTGTAATGTTTTTTTGTTTTTTTTCTAGCCTGTGTGGCGATTGCAGAGGAGCTGAACTATTCAATCAGTCAAACTGATCCAAAAAAGACGATTCATGTTGGCGCATTCAGACTTAAACCCGATGGAAGTCTTACGGACAAAAAGGTATGATTCACTGTTAATTGCTCCAGAATCAATTTATCACATTTATCATTATCAGTGCATTTACAGTTTCGTCTAAAGTCATTTCATCTTCATCCAGGGTGATTCTGACAGGCAACTTGGGGTTTCTCTTGCTCAAGATAGTGATAAACTGTGAAAAAGTTTCTCCAATTTCTCAGTCTTTACCACCAGCATTTAGCTTTTAGTTACATTATTAACACAGGCTAGTCAATGTTTGAAAGTATTCTACAATATACTGATAAGATCTGAATTGTAAGTTTCACTTTTTTATTAAGCTGTAATTGTAAATTTTTTTTTGTAATCAGTTGCCTTACATAGCTTTTTAATATTTCCTTGTGTTTATAAGCTTGCTCTGTTTACTTGAGTAAAGGGAGCCATTTTTACTGTTTTCTTCTCAGTTTAGTGGT